CAACCTTCAAAGTTATTGAAGAAATTAATTAATTTAGTGATTGCAAAATTAAATTAATTAAATTCGAAGATGCTTCAAATCTTCACCTATGGGCATTAACTTGTTTTCTTCTTAATGTAGATAGAACAGTAGACTTCATAATTTAGTCCTTCGCTCTTTGATTCTGTAGACTAATGCATTAAAAAGTTGTAAACTTTTTGTAGTATTTTGATCTTATTATTTAGTTAGCATAAACTCTAACACTATATCAGCAGTTATAAGGTTTGCATCAAATTGACAAAGCACTTCCACTGCTGCTTTTACTGGAATAAAACGTCCTACATAGTTTCACATCCTATTTAAGGTTGAGTAGATTAAAAGCTGGTTAAAGTTGCTTATTATATTTAAGTTTTAATTTAACACAAATTTGACACAAATTAATGGTTTTTTTGCATTGCTATTTAAAAAGGCAGATTCTTTTATTTTATAAAATGATACATTCTGGTAATTCCAGAGTGACAAAGAGATTTATTTAGCTCCATAAGAGAGGGTCCTTTTATTGTAATAGAGCAACAAAATCTAGAGAGGGCATCATGTGACATTAAATAGGATGTAAAATAGTAGTAGATTCACCACTTGTTGAATTTGTTAACAATTCATCAAAATTGCTGGCTGATATAGTAAACAAAATGATAGTAATTTTTAAAATTTAATTGATCAAGTAATATTACAATATTACATAAGTAAAAAATATCCACATTTCAGTTTTAAAATTAACAAAATCAGATAAAGTTCTAAACAAGTTTGATTTTTTTCTAATAACTTATATATATTATATTAATTACTTTGTATAATTTTTACATATTGTTATTCAAAAGTTAATGTAGTTTTTTTTAAAATTAATTACTTCTTTTATCTTGCCACTAATTTAAAAGTTTAAAATGATAAAAAGTAGTTTAACCAAAATCGCTTACTGCTTACTTTAAAATTGCTTAAGGCGTATGTAAATTGCTCTACGCATGATGCTTTAAAACAAGGCCATAGTTTGGATGAATAAAAAAATTTTTTATGGCACAATCCTGTTCAACAACTTATTAATAAATTATATTGTAATTCAACATATTTGCCAAAGCAAACAACTTATTAATAAATTATATTGTAATTCATCACAACATCCTGTTTAATGTCACATGTTTCATTATTGCTCTATTTCTCACTAGTTGTGCTATTAAAAAAAATCTTATATCTCATTGATGTCCTATGTTTCATAATGTCCTATGTCTCATTAATGTCCTCATTACAAAATGCAATATGTCTTATTACAATATATACATATATATATATATATATATATACATATATATATATATATATATATATATATATATATATATATATATAATAATATATATATATATATATATATATATATATATATATATATATATATATATAGATATAGATATAGATATATATATATATATATATATATATATATATATATATATATATATATATATATATATATATATATATATATATATATAGATATAGATATATATATATATATATATATATATATATATATATATATATATATATATATATATATATATATATATATATATATATATATATATATATATATATAGTGTTTAAAAAAAAACAAATTGTGAGATTTTAAATATTAAAAACTCAATCATCGAACTTCAAAAAATCTTTCAGAAAATTCTAACAAAATTATAATTAAATTGCATATACACTCTATACTCAATTACTTTTAGTAATTGTTTTCACTTAACATTTTTTACTTAATAAAGTAAAAAAGTAAAAGTAAAAGTGCAAATTTTATAACATTTATACAACTTTAATTAGTTATAGAAAACCATTTAGTATTTAGAAAACTATTTAATATTATTTTTAAAAAGTATTGTACAAAGCTATAAAACAACAATAACAAAAACTGAAAAATTGGTTATTATTTAGATGAATTACATTACAATGGATGTTTCACACCAAATAGTGAATTTACAAATGTTATTAAAGACAAGCAAAGATAGGGTGAGTTTTTATGTATGCTTAAGTACCACAAAAGAAGAAAAAAACAAAAACATGTACAGAATAACTCAAAGATATCAAAAATAAAAATAGAGTTGTTTTCATTATGAAATTCTGAAAACTGCAATTAAATTATCACCAAAAATCAGTAAAAAAAGTTCACTAGTACAGAAAAAATTTTATACTCATTATCTGACTTTTTTAGTGAATCATTAATACTGATATCAACAATCACCTTTTTTATGCAATTTTATCAAATTAAGAAACCCTTTAAGCTTTGTATAACAAGATGGAGCAGCTTACTATCAATAAACTGCTCCATCTTGTTATACACTCTTTGATTAAATAGTAGGTTTTTTCCAAAGTCACTTTTTATGTATTCTTGAAGGCAATCAATATTTTTAGTTGATGATCTTTTAAAAACGATAACGATTTTTCTAACTTTATTAATCAAAGGACCAAT